GAAAACTCATAGCAAAGTTCTTAGCCTAAGAACTGGAGGCTGTGTTTACTTCTAGGTCTGTGGCAAACCACTTCCATGGGCATTTGTTGCAGAAGTGTAAAGTGAATTGAGAAATTTGAGAATATGGCTCTGGGGAGTTAAATTGCTCTTCATGGTACCGTAAGAATGGCTTTTCTACACTTGATCTTAGCCAAAAGGCCGAGAAGCGATAAGAATGGCTTTTCTGATGGCAGACTTTCCCTTTTGATAATTATTTTCAGGAAATTCAAGAAAAATTGATGAATTCATTTCGGTGCCAACATAATGGTAGTTCTTGGGAATTATATGTGTTCAGTGGGAATTGCTCAAGCAACCACAAATGTCACTGAATTTGCTTGATTTGTAGCCTCATATTTTTTGTTCTTGTGCTCAAAACCCAATCCAGTATCACTGTAAGAAGATGGGAAGCAAAGATACCCAGCAGAGGGATGGCTGGGTCAAATGGAACCTCTAGACCTAGTTCTTTGAGGTATCTCCACATTGATTTCCATAGTGGTTGCACCAATCTGCACTCCCACCAACAATGAAGAAGGGTTCCTTTCTCCCCACAGCCCCACCAGCATTTGTTATTGTGTGAGTTCTTGATAGCAGCCATCCTTTGTCGGGTGAGGTGGAATCTCAGTGTTGTTTTCATCTGCATCTCTCGAGTGACCAGTGATGTGGAACAGTTTTTCATATATTTACTTGCTGCTTTTACTTCTTTGTCTGAGAAATGTCTGTTCATTTCAGATGCCCATTTTTGAATTGGGTCTTTATATTTTTTGGGGGGGGCTGATTGGTATCTTTCCAAAAGATTTAAAAGAGTCATACCACAGAGATATATATGCACCAATGTTTATAGCGGCACAGTTTGTAATAGCTAAGACTTGGAAACAGCCCACCTGCCCATCTGTTGGAAACTGGATAAAGATACTTGTCTGAATCTAGTTTTTTTCACTTAACATGAGGATATCCATCCATTTTCCTTGCAAATGAAATAATTTTGTTCTTTATGACTGCACAGTACTCCACTGGAGGTTTATATATGAAACCCATTTTATTTTTATCTATTCCTTTGTTCATGAGCACTACAGGCTGGTTCCATACTTTAGCCATTGTGAATTGTGCCACAGTAAACACAGATATCCCCATAGTATGCTGATTTTAATTTCTTCAGGTATATACCAAGGAGTGGTATAGCTGAGTAATGTGGGAGAGCTATTTTTAGGAACCTCCCTATTGATTTCCATAGTGGCTGTCTTTATATCCCACCAGCAGTGTAGAATGTTTCCTTTCCTTAGTCCTATATCTTCACTAGAATTTGTTGCTTTCTGTATTCTTGATGATAGCCATTCTGACTGCAGTGAGATGGAATCTCCATGTATTTTTTATTTGCCTTGTCCTAATGGCTAAAAATGTTGAACATATTTCTGTATAGTTACTGGCCATTTGTACTTTGTTCGAGAAGTATCCAATTCATTTGCCATGTTGAGCTATTTGATTTTCTGGTGCTGTTTTGTGTTCTTTAGATAGTCTAGATATTAATCCTATCTTAAAAGAGTAGCTACCAAAGTTTTCTCCCATTCTATAGGCTCTCTCCACTGTCAGTTATTTCTCTTGCTTTGCAGAAACTTCAATTTGAGGTAGGCCCATTTGGTAATTCTTATTATTACGGCTTATGCTTTTGGAGTCCTGTTCAAGAGCTCTTTGCCTGTGTCTGTGGTTACAAGTGCTTCTCTGATTATTTTTAGCAGCTTCAAAGTTTCACATCTTAATTTAGGTCTTTGACCCATTTTGAATTGATTTTTGCAAAAGAATCTAGCTTCAATTTTCTGCATTTGTATGTCTAGTTTTCCCAGCACCATCTGTTAAAGAGGCTTTCTTTTTCTCCAACATGTTTTTGGTCCCTTTGTCAAGAATCAGATGGCTTACAAGATCCCAATGATAAATGTACCTCTACTGTACACTTAAAAAGTGCCAATAAATTCATTGAAAAAAAAAATCAGATGGCTGTAGTGCGTGCCTAAAATCCTAGCACTCAAGAGGGGATTGTTTCAAGTTCAAGGCCAGCCTGAGCTACATAGTGAGTTCAAGACAGCCCAAACTTAATGAGACCCTGTCTCAAAAAACAGAAAAAAAAAAAA